GGTCCTCCACAGGTCAGGACCTGACCTGGCACTGCGAAGTCATCCATGGATCTGTGCTTTTTAAGAACACAGACATTGAATAATGCTGTCACCATGCGAAGTACAGTCTGGATAATTTTGATGTTTGGCCATTGACATTGTTTTTTCCCCATTATTTCCCACCCCATTTATTTACAAACAAAAGTGAAAAATATGTTTTATGGCTTGCAAAAAGTATTGTCCTCTCTCTAAAAAGTAGTGCTTAGAGTATTAGCATGTATAGAAGAGGCTTCCCATTAAAAATATATTACTCATTTGACTTATAAAGTATTAAAAATACAGCTAAAGATAAAAAATAAAAATATAGCTAATATAGTTTTTGTTTTTAATGAATGCCTCCCTGGCTGGGTGGCTCAGTTGGCTGGAGTGTCATCATGTGCACCAAAAGGTTGAGGGTTCGATCCCTGGTCCGGGCACATACAGAAGACGGCCAATTGAGGTTTCTCTCTTTCTCTCCCTTCCTCTCTCTCTCTAAAAGTAATGGAAAAAAATATCCTCAGGTGAGGATTAAAAAAAATTTTTTTAATAAATAAAATCAGCCCTGGCAGATGTAGCTCAGTGGATTGAGTGCTGGCCTGTGGACCAAACGGTCACTGGTTCAGTTCCTGGTTAGGGCTCATGCCTGGGTTGTGGGCCAGGTCCCCAGTTGGGAGCATGCAAGATGCAACACATCGATGTTTCTCTTCCTCTCTTTCTCCCTGCCTTCCCCTCTCTCTAAAAATAAACTTTTTTAAAATAAATAAAATCAATAGACATATCCTCGGGTGAGGGTTATATACTAAATATAAAAAATAAAAAAATAAATTTAAATGTATGGGTCCTATTGGACCCAAGGGCAAGCAATCCAACAGCAAAGGTTTTAAAATTATGTAGACCATAAGGAAAATTGGCTACTGCCTATATATTTGAGTATATTAAAGGATAATTGTTAGGTGTGATAATGGCATTGATTATGGTTATGTTAAGCAAACATATACATTCCAAAATATTAAAAGGATAAAATGATATGCTGAAAACTGCTTCAAAATTATCCAGAGGGAACTGGGTGTTGTAGGGCAGACACCTGATGGAAAATTGTTGATGTTGGTAATGTGTATTATGAAATTTTCTGAAACCATGCTCTCTACTTGTAGAAAATTTGAATTTTCCCAAAATATTAAAAATAGAGAATACTTACAAAATGATTTTTAAAGTACATTCTCTATCATTATGCTGTGTAATGCAAGTCCTTTCCTAAAACGGTGTTCAGATGATAAAGAAGATTGCATTATTGTTTCAAATTTTTCAACCCCCTGTGAAACCACCTAGCAATGTCTCATGGTAGTGAGACTGTAATCCTTCTCCCTTTCATTCTGAGCTATGTGACTTGGTTAAGACAATGCTATGTGAGCAAATGCTATCAGGAAAAAATCTGAAATGTGTTTGTGCATTTGGCTTTCCTCCACTCCGTGAGTGATCCATCATGAGGAACCTCCCCCAAGGTGCTATTGATTAAACTTCAGCCCCAGAATGGTCATACTTGGATCAGAGCCCGATCAGCTTCCAGAATGGACTTGAAGACCCATCACTTGGGTAACCTACCCAAGCCAATGGCCAAACCTGTGAGCATGAAATAAATGCTTATTTCACATGGAATAAAACTGGACTAATAGTTATTTACACAATAACAATAAATTTAAGTTACACAGTTGACAAGTTAATGTCATGTAAAACATGCCATTTATTAAGCAGAAATTTTCTGTACTCTGGGGTTGTCTAGGTCAGAGAAGAAATTTTATAAGACTGACAAAGGATCAAGAAAGTCTTCATGCAGGAATGGTTAGTGGGTGCTCACATGTATGTTATACAAACAAAATGATGTAAATTTAAATATTTGGAAACAAAACTTTACTGAATATGAAGATTGAATAAATTTAAATTGAAATGTAAATTGTGTCCACGCCTTTGTCACACAGCAGTTTCATTTGGTGTTCTACTGAAAAACTAACAAGATGGCATTGTCTTAACCACATTACATTTTAGACACTTTGGAGAGTCATTCTGGTGTCACCTGTTCTTTCCCTTTAACAACAATGATCACAATATAAAATATTTCATCATATGACAATTATGATTCAAGAGTTCATCTAGTGGGACTGCTGTTGGTTAGAAGGCTAGAATAAAATAATCAACACATTTGGAAGGAAATTTAGATGAGAAAATCCAGAGGGGTCCAAATTACTGCAAGCACGTGCTATGCTGTTACTGTAGAAGTATGCATTCTGTGAAATGTTGGAGCTTGTGAAAACCGACTCAGAATGACTATGAAGCTCTCTACTTCTTAGTATTTCATTAGAATTTCTTATAACTTTGTGTCTTAAAAAGTGAAAGTCACTTGTAAATCCATGTGAGCTTACTGTATATTTGGGTTTCAGCAAACATACTGTGGGGAAACACACAAACGCTTCTGTCAGGACAAGCGAGCCACCACTCAAATACCTGAACTCTCTCAAATAGACACGTGGGGTGGCATGACACAAACTCTGTCACTGGGACATACATGTGGGCACACCCAGACACACACACACTCAGACTCACCGGCAAAGGCGATGTCTCCAGAGACACACAGTCAGGCCGTCTTCAACACTCCTGCAACAGCTCCTACCTGCCTCAGGCTAACCAACGTCATTTACCTATCCCGCTCCCCCTGGAAAGGAGACTTAATGCCTCCTGAGCCTGCACAGAACCAGAAGCCTCTCTCCATGAGAACCACAGCAGGCAGACCCTAGCAGTGTCAGCGGCTGACTGGGGCTGGGATTGATGTTCCAGCCCTCCCCTTGCAGCTTTAGGATTCTTACACAAACGCACTCCACTTTGACCCTTTGTCACTCCACTCAGGGAGGATAGTGATGGTGTCGGTATCTCTTTGAATGGCAACCATCCTGCACTGGGGTCCCCTCAGCCTGCTAGTTTCATGTGCCGGCCCCATCGGCCCCAAAGTCCTCATGGAGGCTGAAGGGTGGCCTCCTCAGGAGCTCAAGCCAGAGACTGCTCTTGCAGGACCCAGGGAAAGACAGGAAACTGTCCCAAGAGAGGGGAGCTGTCCCTGCGCAGCTCCAGTAAGGCTGAGCCCCAGGTCTCTCCCACGATTTTCTTAAAAGGCAGCTGGCTGTGTCTGCGGAGACTTGCGATCTCCATTTCCCACAGGCCACTGGGGTCAAGACTACACAGAATGCAGGGGTTAGAAGTGTACGTTGGCAGTGGCAGGGTGGCTCCGGAGAATGGGATGGGTCATGGGGAGAAAATAGGGTTGTTGAAGAAGATGAGGTCATATGGGAGAAGGGTAGGCCCTAACCCAACATGGGGTGTCCTTACAAGAAGTATGCCATTGAAAACACAGGCACACACACAGGGAGAATGCCTGTGAGAGTTAAAGCTGCCACCAGCCAATGATCTCCCAGAAGCTGGGAGAGAGCTGGAACAGATGCACCTCTGGCACTTTCAGAGGGGGCTGGCCTGCCAACACCATCATTTTGGACTTCTGCCTACAGCACTTTGAGACAAAATTTTCTGTTGTCCCAAGCCACCCGGTAGTGGTGCCCTGTTACAGCAGCCCTAGAAAACATACAGGATGCAAATGATTTGAAAACACAGTAAATAGAATATGTCTAAGAAATAGCTACAGATTTCCCTTGAAAATATTGTTTTCAATGACACATAATTAAATTTATATGATAGAACTGCATTTAGTTCTGTGTAACTGAATCTCACAAAATCTCATATATGAGGAAGGTGCTCTCACAAGGAAAAGCTGGTTCAGCAATACACTTCAAAATGTAACAGATAAACAAAGTCCCAAGTGTTGTTTTATTTTGCTGCAACATTGTAGTTTTTGTGGTGGATGCAGGATCAGTCACTGAAAGTTTTAAGAACACAGTGTTTGCTATACAAATTAGACCTCAGAAACTATGTTAACATCTAGAGAAGAGGGTGAATCACAGCATTAAGGATCACTAACCATGAGTTTGAATTAGTGGTCTGGAGGACACCTTATGGTTCCTAGAAAAATACAAATTGGAAGTACCTAGCCACACAAGTGGATCCTTGATTCAGAGCTCATGGAGCTACCTGTGGAAGCCTATTCCTCTGAGAAACATGGAAATCAAGCACTTGCTGTTTCTTTTGATACTCTTAATTAGTAGGGCAAAGAAATCAGGGAAACGGGCTGAAATCTGGTACCTAGAAGTCCCTATGCATCTTTCTATCACACTTTAAAGTGGTTCCAAAAACTTAGTAATGGCTTCTTCACTTCTGCCTCCCAAATCTCATGCCAAGTTAGGCCACTGGTGAATTAGAACACAGAATCATAAAGGGAAGGGATTCTGGGAACTGTAGTTTCCCAGACATTGTTGACATAGCACAATCCAAAGAACCATCTCAAACTCACAATCTTGTGGTCCTAAGTGTCTCTTGGTAAATGGCTACTGTTCAATTCCCAATCATGAGCAAAAACAGTGATGGGCATAAGTTGAAAACAATAACTCACATAATTTCATAATTACAAAAACTGTAAGAAAAACAGAAAAAGGCTCCTCTGGCCAAAAATAAATAAAGATGCTCAATAAGAAAGGTAGAAAATATATGATGGGTGATATCCAGTATCTGCCACACTAAGCCAGAAAGAAAAATCCAACAAATACTAAAGTGTCATTGTTCCAACAACCCCTTAAAGGATAATTTAAAGAAATTAAAACTATTTACATACTGAAAGTACACTTTTAATTGTCTGAGTCCACAAACTAAAGACAAAAGCTTTGTTTACTGAAATGTAAGAAAAAACACTACATGGAAATTTTATGCACTGTAGCTAAGAGTACTTGGAGAGATTTTTTTTTCACATAAATGTTTATTCACAAAAGAACTGGAAATACACTCCCTATGGGTCCAATTTAATGATGAGGTACTCATAAAGGCAAAACCACACTTACAACTTTCGTAAGATTTCTCTCTTGGTGTGAACTTTCTGTAGTACTGTCTCTGAATTCCTTTGCAGGACTTCCCATGTTATATGTGTAGTTGTTTTCTGTAGTGTGTGTTCTCATATGTCTTCTTAAGGATGAGGAACAACTAAAGGCTTTCCCACATTGCTTACACACATAAGGTTTCTCCCCAGTGTGCATTCTCATATGTATTGGTAAAGAGGATGGCCACTTGAAGACTTTCCCGCATTCCTTACACTCATAAGGTTTCTCTGCAGTGTGTGTTCTCACATGCTGTTGCAAAAGTTCAGGCCAGCTGAAAGCCTTCCCACATTGCTTGCATTCATAGAGTTTCTCAGCAGTGTGCCTTCTCATATGTTTTTGTAAGGATATGTGACAATAGAAAGCTTTCCCACACAGTTTGCATTCATACGGTTTCTCTCCAGGATGTATTCTCACGTGTTCTCGAATGCAAGCAGGCAAATTGAAGGTTTTTCTACATTGTTTACATTCATATGGCTTCTCTTTAGTGTGTGTTCTTGTATGTTTTCGTAAGGATATGGGCCAGTTGAACGTTTTTCCACATTGAGTGCATTCATAAGGTTTCTCTCCAGTATGCACTCTCATATGTCCGCGGAAGGATGAGGGATGGCTGAACGCTTTCCCACACTGGTCACATTCATAGGGTTTCTCTCCACCGTGAGTCCTTTCATGTCTGCGGAATGACTGGGGGTAAATAAAGGTTTTCCCACACTGCTTGCACTCATAGGGTTTCTCTCCGGTGTGAATCCTTTCATGTCTTCTAAAGGACTGGAGATAAATGAAGGTTTTCCCACACTGTTTACATTCATAGGGTTTCTCTCCAGTGTGTGCTATCATGTGTCTTCGAAAAGCTGAGAAGTAACTGAAGGCTTCTCCACATTCCTTACATTTATGTGGTGTCTCTCCAGTGTGTGATATCATGTGTCTTCGGAAAGTTGAGGAATAGCTGAAGACTTCCCCACATTCCTGACATTTATAGGGCTTCTCTCCAGTGTGTGTTATCATGTGTCTTCGAAAAGTTGAGGAATAGCTGAAGGCCTTCCCACATTCCTTACATTTATAGGGCTTCTCTCCAGTGTGCGTTCTCACATGACTAGTAAGACTTGAAACATCAATGAAGGCTTTCCCACATTGCTGACATTCATAGTTTTTCTTTGCAGTATGAATCCTTATATGCCGATTGAGGGAAGAAGTACGAGGAAAGGTCTTTCCACATAACTTACATTCGTAGGGCCTCTCCTCTTTGTGGGTTCTCATATGCATTCTTAGGTGTGAACAGTAACTATTGACCTGCCCACATTCCTGACATTGATATGGGTTGCGTCCAGTGTGGATGGCAACGTGACTCCTGAGGGATGAGTGATGCATGGGGACTTTTGCATATGTACTGCACTCATACTGTTTTACTTCAGGAAGACTTTTCTGGTACAGATTAAGATTTGAAATCTCACTTAAGCTTTCCCCACACTGATCATTACTTTCACAGAGTCTCTCCACCACATGATTTCTGTTAAAAAATGAGAAACATGTTATAATAGTTTAATAATGACTTCTTAATATTTATTAACATTAGAATTACATTTTCACCGATTTCAGACAATGTATTGGTTTTCTATCCTGCTTGTTTTAAAGTGGAATGAACTGAATGGATTGACCACAGCCATTATGAAAACAGTGTTTCTTAAACATAAGACTTTTCTCCTAATTCTTTCCTACTGTTTCTAACACTCAACATCTGTGTCACATTTTAATTTTTTTTTTTAAGAGAGAGAGGGAATAGGAGGGCGAAAGAGAGGGAGAAAAACATCCATGTGAAAGAGAAACATCGATTGGCTGCTGCTTGTATACACCCTGATGAGGAACGAAACCCCAAGCCAGCCATGTGCCCTGACTGGGAATCGAATCAACAACCTTTTGCTTTGGTGGACAATGCCCAACCAACTGAGCTACACTGGTCAGGGCCTATGTCACATTTAAGGAATATGGTGTGTGTGTGGTGAAAATCTGAATAAACAAATTTGAGCAAGGCGTATGTGGGCTTTGGTTTGTTTGCTTTTTGAATTTCATGACATACTACTGTTATGCAAAACTCACCTCGGGTATCTCCTCTGGTTTGTGTGCTGATCTTCAACACTAAGTTCTTCACAAATTTTTCCTAAGATGGAGACCCAAGAATTTCTGGTGAACTTAGCTATTTTATCTTCCTTGGATAGTTTATTCTCATAAATATCCTGCTGAAAAACTGACCTATTGGCCTTAAATTGAGTCTCATCATCTGAAAACAGAAAGGGAACAAATCTTACAAGAATAAAGGTATCTGTTAGCCAAAAAAGACACCGAGGAGTTAGCTGTGTCAGGACTTTATCAATAACAAGTACAAGGGGCCAAAATGGTAAGCAGTTTAATAAACACTACAATTCTCACAAAGCTACAAAAACAAAAACTTCACTGGGCCCCCTAATAACCCATGAAATCTATATCCACTGATGACACCTTTTTACACAAAAGAAAAACTCAGTTAATATATAGATTCTCATTCTCATGGAGGAACTATTAGATTCTATCTCTATGACAGTAATGACAATGTCTTATTAATTAATGTATTCCCTTTCCATGTCCCATATCTGGGAACAGTCTTGACATGCAAGAAATGCATCTTCTCTAAGCTGAAAAGGAACTAAGCGAAGAAATAATGTCACTCTTACCCACTGAGGCCAGGTTCCTGAGGGTCTCCAGCATCACATCTCTGTAGAGCTCCCTCTGAGCAGCATCCAGCAGAGCCCACTCCTCCAGGGTGAAGTCCACAGCCACATCCTCAAAGACCACTGAGTTCTGAAACATCCCATATATGTGCAGGAGGATGGGTGAGACTCACAGCAGTGAGCCACTGGGCTCAACTCACAGGCAGTTCAAACAAGATTCTGTGGTCACCTAACATCTGGTCTATGGTGACATCATCAGAACCTCTTAGCCATGTCCACCCTCACGTCCTCATAGATTTAAAGCACCACTAACACAATGAACTTACCTCTACATTTTTACTGTGACCACATCACGACAATTCTCTAAGCAGAGGATTCGGACCACATTAGAGAAAGTAAATAAACGCTATGCAAATTAAACAGATATTTCCACTTTATGCCCCACCAATCCCTTGAGACATGAACAACTTCAGCTCCTTCCCTACTGTATACCACATCACTCCCTGCTACATGGAGCCTAAAATCAAACCTGGATGAGAGTTTTTTAAAAGTTTTGTTTTTAGCTCTGACCAGTATGGCTCAGTTGGTTGGGCGCTGACCTGTAAAGCAAAAGGTCATCAGTTTGATTTCTGGTCAGCGTACATGCCTGGGTTGCAGGTTTGGTCCCATGGATACAAGGGGCAACCAATCAATGTTTCTCTCCCTTTCTTTCTCCCTTCCTTCCCCTTTCTCTAAAAATAAATAAAATCTTTTAAATTTTTAAAATAATTTATTTTACAATTACAGCTGACATACAATAGCTTCAGGTGTACAACATAATGACTAGACATTTATATAATTTATGAAGTCACCCTGATAAGTACCCACCTGATTGCATACATAGTTATTACAATACTATTGACTATATTTCCTATGCTGTACTTTACATCCCAGTGACTATTTTGTAACTATCAATTTGTGCTTCTTAACCTCTTCCTGTTCTCACCTAGGCTCCCCAACTTTTTTCCCATCTGGCAACTATCAGTTTGTTCTCTGTGTCTATGAGTCAATTTGTTTTGTTTCTTTATTTGTTTTATTTTTTTTAATATTCCATATATACATGAAATCATCTGGTATTTGTCTTTCTATTTCTGACTTACTTCACTCAGCCATAATACCCTCTAGGTCCATCTATGTGGTCACAAATGGTAAGATTTCATTCTTTTTTATAGTTGATTAATATTCAATTGTATATATGCGTATGTAACATCTTTTCCCATTTATCTATCACTGGACACTTAAATTGCTTCTATATGTTGGCTAATGCAAACAATGCTACAATGAACACAGGGGTGCATGTGACTTTTTGAATTAGTGTTTTATCAAAAGAGTACTCTTGCTGACTTTGAGGACAAGGTTAAGAGTCCCTTTTTGCCAAAGAGTTAACTAAAGGCAAAAAACATCCAATATTAAATCCGCCCTTAACTAAAAACACACACAAAAGATTCGCCAGTGCCTTCCTACAAAGGAAACACTTCACCTCAACTTCCAGGAGAAAGTGGATCCCCCACAAATCATCCTGAAGGCTGCACTGTCAGTGCCTCTCATTTCCTACCCTTCCCCCATTGGGTCATTGGGTCCACAGGCATGTCAGGCTAGTCCCTAAGCACATGCACCACTGAGCTGCCCACTTCCTTTAAGCCCTGTTTTGTTGTGTGTGTGTTTTTTTTTAAAGAAAATCAACCCACTGATATCCACTAGCAGAGGACAGAGAAAATACTCTCAGTCAATTCTGCTGCTAGAACTTACCTGTTCAAAAGCATAATAGCATATTAGGACTATTCCTGTTGTTGGTACAGGGAATGATAAAAGGGCCCAAAGTCAGCTGAATTGATGTGAGGACAGCTATCTGTAGTATTTCCTCCAATAAAGTCCCCTTACCCACTGCACAGAAGAAGAGTGGACACCTCAGGCCTGAACTTTTTATCTTTAGAAACAACTGAGGCATGGCTGGCCCTGACTGGTGTCTGGGACCTTGAACTTGAGAGGTACCGCACCACCTGAATTGGTATTCCTCACGCTGTCTAAACTGACTGTGCAGACAACAGCACTGATGCTGAACACCTACTTGCCTTCCGGGAGCCTGGTGTTTGGAGGCAAGCTAGGCATGTGATGCTCACATTTCCAGCTGTCAGTAAAAATCCTGGGCACTACGTCTCTAACAAGCCTCCCTGGTAAACATTTCCCATGTTGTTACAACTCATTCCTGCGTGCGCTCTGTCTGACTCCACTAGGAAAGGACTCAACAGCTTGTCCCTGCTTTCCCACAGCTTTCTCCCCCTGTGCCTTTTCCCTTCGCTGATGTGCCCATGTCCTCTTGTTGTAACAAATCATGGTCATGAGTACCACTATATGCTGAGTTGGGAGAGTCCTCCTAGCAGGGCCTCGGGTGGTCTTTGAGGCACTAGAAGTAGGTTTGCTGGAAAACCCTGACCCACTGACATGTGGCGAAAACACCGCCTGGGAAGAGGAAAGATGAAGAGGGAGGGGATGGTATTCTGGTGGCTATGGAGCTGTCTGTGGTTTGAAAGGGCAGCTTAGCTGCTGTCTGGTGGGAGGTCAAGTTGACAGACGTAAAAATGACAGATCTGACTCCAGGAAGGCTGGCTCACTGGATGGATGGGCTGCTTCTCACCCTGTGAGATATGTGATTGGAAAAAAGAAAAAAGACAAAACAAAAACAAAAAACAAAAACAAAGGCAGCCCTAGTGTGGCGTTTTGAGTTTTGTTCTCTCCTCCAACAAGAGAAAAAAGAACACCTGAGTTCCCAAAGGTGAGCTTTGGATGGGCAAAAAGTGCTAAGTTTGCATGCAATGGGAGAAAAAAAAAGTTCAGTCAGTTCCCAGGGCTGGAGCAAAACTTTAGACAAACCAAGGAGAAAGGGCAGGGAACTCAGCCATCTGGGGCTGCAGTACCCTCTTGACCCACCCTGGCATTCTGGCCAGGACCTTCTCCGGCAGCCATGATTTCATCCCTGTAAATGCCGGATTTATGACTAGGGCCTTGTTATGGGTTGCACTGTGTCCCCACACAAAAGATATGATTAAATACTAACCCCTGGCACTTAACAATGGGATTTTACTTGGAAAGAGGTTCTCTGCAGTTGTAATGAAGTTACAATGAGGTCTTTACAATGAGCCCAAATCCAGTATGACTGGTGTCCTTATCAGAGGAGGAAAATGCCACGTGAGGACGGAGAAGCACAGGGAAAACGGCCATGTGAATACGGACACAGAGACTGGAACTGTGCTTCCACACAGCAAAGGATGCCCAAGGCTGCCGGAAGCTGGGGCAGACAGGGAATGTTCCCAGAAGCCTAGAGGGTTTTGAGGGAGCACAATCCTGTCAATGCCTTGATTTCGGACTTCCAGCCCCCAGAACTGTGAAAGAACAACACTTTAAGCCCCCCCCACACTGTGGTCACTTGTTATGGCAGCCCTGGGAAACTTATACAGGGTACGAGTGAATTTGCAATGAAAATGAAACGGGAGGAGATTTTTACTTAAAATGATTTTGATTCATCATTCCTGCATCTGCATGTGTGACAAAAACTGATGCAAATGGTATATTCATATAATTCTATCAATGCCAGTGGGATCGTCCCAATGCATACAAAGAAAAAGATGTCACTGAGACACAACATCCTTGCTTTTTAAAAGCCACTGGTGCATTGGGTGGGAATTTAAACTCTAAGTATTAGAAACAAGATTATGTCTCCATAACCAATGACTTTTTACTATGGTTTTTACGTAGGTTCAAAAAAGGAGGAAACAAAACGAAGAAACAGGCAATCTCTAAAATGGGAAGTAGATTTTTGGAATTTTAAGAAGAAGTTTCCAATTTGCTAAAGAGTATCTTACGGGGGAAACAAGAGGAAAGATGAGGCTGTGCAGTTCTTAAGACAAGGATAAGGCTAGTCATGTCCACATTTCATGACAAAGTCTTATACTTTACTTGCAATCCAATAAAGAATTTCAACAAGAAGAAAAATAAGATGTCATCTATGAAGACTCTACAAACACTATACTAGAGAATATACACAAGAATCCAGATCAGGAGTCTGAGGGACCACTTTCTGAAGAATTCCTACCAAGACCCTCTTTAGATGATGAAAACCAAGATGTTGGTCTTTGGCAGACACCACCCCCACAAGGAGGTCTCCTCACCACCATCCTCCCCAACAAGGAGGCAGATGGCCAAGACCTCTCTCCATGGCCAACCAGCCAAGTAATCTGGAGGGCAGTGGCAGAAAATGGATATGAAAATGACAGCCCTTCAGAAAGCCATGACATTAGAACAATTCAGTCTATCTTCAATATACCAATAAAATTATCAACACCCCCCCCCAAAAAAAGAGTTCTTATGGAGATCTATTTCTGATGACCTGCAGAGGATGACAACTGTCCAGCAGTGAGTCAGTCTGTATTCAAAGAAAGACAAAACAAAAAAGACTGCCCTGGTTGGTGTGGCTCAGTGGACTGAGTGCAGGCCTGTGGGCCAACAGGTTGCCAGTTCAATTCCCAGTCAGGGCACATGTCTGGATTGTGGGACAGGTCTCTGGTTGGGGATGTGCAAGAGGTGACCAACGGATGTTTCTCACATGGATGTCTCTCTCCCTCTCTCCCATCCCCTCTCTGAAAATAAATTATTAAAACAAACAAACAAACAAACAGTCTTAGGATAGTCTCATCTGCTGCTTGCTCTTGGACCCAGTTGTCTGCCCCTGCAGTATCTCAGCTTTGCTACTAAGAAGAAAAGGCCCTAGTGTTTGGTGGCATTCTGAATTCACATAGCTCGCATATATACTTCCTGCAGTTGACTGTGAGCTAAAACCCGACAGTGTCCACGATGGGCTGTTTCAGCCCCAGTACACACTGCACTGGCCTAAAAGCAGAAATAAGCTCTATGAAAAGGACTTCGACTCTGGGAATGTGGAAGATGTAGAACAGCTCTCTGTGAAGCCCTAAACTGTGAAAACCCCACAGATGCCAGTGGGTCTGGTGGGGTCACCTACAGTTGTCCATGACCAAGACCTTGTTCTCCAATGGGACCATCTAGAACCAAGCCATCCTTTCACAACTGGGTGCTTCCACGCTGACAGATCATCTCCAGGTGTCCGACTGGTGAGGCAAATGAACTGGCTTCATGGATAAACAAAACTGTCTGAAGCTGACCACCTCAGGCAACCCCTCTAAAGCAAGGACTGGACTGAATTATTAGGTCTGCACTGAACTCAGGCTACAGTGGGGGCGCTGGGGACCTGGCTGCCTAATGCATCCTGCTTGGGGTGCCCTAACTACTGTACACTCTGTGCTTCTGGGGGACCAAGGGTGCCCTCTAGGACTGTACTTCTCAGATGTGTGTCCTACCAGGACACCGTCTTATCTGTGGATAAAGCACTCATGTCAGCTCCAACTTACTGGCCAGAGATATGCTGTGCAGGAACTAACACATGGGGCCACGTGAAAACAAACAAGCAAGCAAACAGAATACAGATAGTTGAGGAAGATCCCCCTCCCCACCCCCCCACCCCCCACACACACTTTACTGGCTTTCTAAGAGCTTAATAGTGAATGGAATTTACTTGAACTAAGTCCAGGACCCCTAAAGAGCATAACCAAAATCCATGCTTCAGTTGGGTCTCATCCCACTGCCCAGGGTCCTACTAATAATTTTGCTGTAAAAATGCCTTGTCCAAGGACGAAGGGAACGGACTGTGCAGAAGTGGTAGCTGAGGAGGCCTGAGGGTCCTTATCCTCAGAATGCCCAGCTTTCAAGGTGGCCCTTGACAGGCATATGGGAACTCGGATGTGGAGAGTTTCCAGCACCATGATACAAGTAGCTCCCCCTTTTTATGCAAACAATAGGGCTTCTGCCAAAGAACTGCTCCAGGAAGGATCTACCGTTTGCATCAGGCCAAGAAGGAGGTGTCTACATGACCAGCCCCCAATAAAAACTCTGTAACTGAGTCTCACATTAGCTGCCCTGCCTGATAGGCATTTCAAATGTGTTGTCACACTTGGCTGCTTTGTGCGGTCACTAGAGGGGACCTTGTACCTATTCTTAGTACAATGCCTCAGGCACCTTTCTTCTCAGCTGACTGCTTCACTCTGGCACTCCAGTAAATCACATCATGAGCATGACTGCAGGCTGAATCCTAGAGTCCTCCTAGACCTCATGAATTGAATTAGTGCCCTTATAATGGAGGCCCCAGAGAGCTCCCTGGAGCCTTCCACCATGTGAGGGCACACTGAAAAGGAAGCCATCTATGAACCAAGAAGCCGGCCTACACCAGACACCAAATCTGTCAGCACCTTGACCTTGGACTTCTCAGCCTCCACAACTGTGACAAATACATGTTTGCTGTATATAAGCCCCCCAGTCTGTGATATTTTTGTTATAGCAGCCCCGGCTGACTAAGATAGGAACTCCCAAACACACCCAACTTGAAACCATCAAATACTTTAATATTCCACAACATTCATTTTTAAAAATTATACCACTGAGCACCCATTCCATGCAAAAATCTTTACAAAGAGATTTATACACATACATTAGCTCATACAGTCTGTAAAGCAGACAGGATTAAAATTGGTTCACAGTAGAGGAAACACAGAACAGTCCATGAATAACATCGCACAAGCTCGGGCCACTTGCACATCTTTCACATATACCTTACTTACAGCTGTTTTGTTATTGTAACTATTATTTCCCAGTGTGATAAGGAGATAGGCTAGATTTTGCCCCAGCACTACAGAGATGAGCCAACAGAAGCATCCTATTCCATGCTTACATCCTTTTGCTCCTTTGCTCGCACAGCCGTGTATCTCATAAAAGACTGCTGTGAAGCTCTCACCTCTGGCTCTTTCATTTAGTAAAACTGATTTAGGTTACAGTGACATGAGTCCTAGTACTTGAAGGCACTAGGGATAGAGCACTGAACAAAAAAAGTCTGAACCTTGTGGACCTTAAATTCTTTTGGAGGAAAACAATAAATGAACAAACCAAATATAAGTACTAAGGAAAATGTGGCACAGTGAGGGGATCAGGAGGGAGATATATATCATTATACGTGTATTTGTGTAAATGTCAATATTGGTATAGATAAATATGAATGACTGGTTGCAAGGCAGAGGAAAAGAACATTAAAATAACCCTTTTAAATAACACTCTAAATTGATACTTAAATAGCTTAAAAATATATATGTACATTACATATACATATTACACATATATATGTATCTTCATATGATTCAATATATTGGTTACATACACCAGAGTGAGGAGGCCTATCAATGGGGCTCCTTTCAAGTGGGGTATCTGGTGTGAAAGCTTGTTCTACCTTTAGGGCTGAATTTATTTCACAGATTATTATTTTTTAATATTTTTGTTAATTGTACACATGCCATATGCATTTTCCTACACTGCTATTATATTATACAAGAGAAAACTCTAAAATCAATTTATATAACTTGCCTGTAATCATCTTAGGAGTTGCTAAAAACTATTTTATAATATTCAACAGTCATACATCTTACCACTGGAGAACAGATGGTGATGTAACCTAATAAAGGAAAACTGATAACAGGATGTCCACAAAATAACAAATAACATTTAACGGTATGATATTGTTTTCTCCAAAACAATTAGGGACAAACCGAATATGCTCAGGACCTCTCTTCTGGTCAACATTATACTAGAGTCAATCCAGACTCAGCAGAAAACAAATGCACAAGAACTAAAAAAGAAAAAAGCCTTGTCTCTATGCCTACCTGTTAGTTGTATGTGTTGGACACCAACAGAACAACAACAACAAAAATAATCACAGAATAAGATTTTTAACAAGAATCCAGGATAAAAATTCAATACAAAAATACAGTTCATTACCATTTTAATTAACAGCAAGTTGGAAAATTCACTTTAAAATGCCAACACATACTATGGTAAAAAAACAAATTTAATTAGTACTAAACAAGTCTAAAGAAAGCTATAAAAAGAACCAAATGGAAAAACTAAAACAGTAAAAAAAAAAAAAGTAAAATTAAATAAAAGGAAAGAAAAAGCACATGTTCTTAAAAAGAATTCAGTTTTACCAAGATATCAACTCTTCCAAAAAGAGATCTAAAATTTTCATAAAATTCCAATAAATCTCCAAATCAGATTTTTTTTTTTAGGACTTGAAAAATACTAATTTTACAAAGCTAACAGGAAGAACACATATCCAAAAAGAGCCAAGTGTTCTGAAGAACAAGGCAGGAGCTCACCTATCACAAAGCAAGGATTTTAAAGCCATAGTAGTCGTGATAGAATTAGCAGAGGCATGGACAACTAAATCCAAGGAAAGGAACATCTTGAAGTGGGACCTTGTCTATTAATTCACAACAGGGCAGCCGTTGCAGAGCAGTGGCAGAAATGACAAATATATGAGACAGTGACAAAAAGTTATCTAAATAATAAAAATGCTTTACTCCCACCTCTTCCATAGATAGTATCAATTTACTGTGGGTTAAAGCAAGGTGTGTAAGTAATAGCAACAGTTTTCCCTACTGTCACAAAATCTCCACCCGGCAAAGGAAAAGAGCTATTTTGGTCAAGTCTTTATAATTCACCAGTTCACCTACCACACTTTGCAGAAATGTATTCATTTCTCTGCTGCCGTATCAGGAGGTTTTCTTTTTTGCTCTGACATTCTTTTCCCCAGTAGAAATTTCAAAGCTAAACCCTGTAATTCCATTGCTTATCACCCAAAGGAACAGACCTGAGAAACGTACTACACACCGGAGGGAATTTGAAAAGAAGGTTTAACAAACGGAAGGAAAGACACTACCTCCTCCCCCCGCCCCCGAAATTAACCTCTTAGAAAATATTTTAACTTTTCTGCTCTATTAATTAAAAGTATTTAAATATTTGCTGAAAAACTAAGGCTCCAACAAGTGAATACATCTTTTAAAGGTGACAAACCCATGGAGGGACAGTGCTGAAGTGGAACACAACCATGGACGACTCAGACTCAAGGGTCCAATGGAGACTTCCGACCACGTGGGAGACCCCTCCCCCACTGTACACAGAGGGGCTTCCTGAACAAAGGACACTGGCTGGTGTCCCGCTGTGAGTCTGGAATGCAGGTGGCTTTGCAGGTGACTGATCCACCTCATTGGGTGGCCTTGCCTCGTCATCTGCGTTAGTTTCTTTCCCTTCAGGAACCCGAATTTTTTCCATCTTTTCTCCTCAATACCAGGATCCGGTCAGCTGACCACCGTGTCCCTCCAGGAAATAACAACTGAGGTCGCAGTCAGTTGACTGAGCACCTACCTAGAGATCTGTCCCAGTGGAGGCCCAATGGAGGCCCCCAGCTAGGTCTCCCAGATTTCCCGCCCACCCCGCAGACTGTCCTCTAGGAGGAGACGACCAGGGACTGATATTCGCCCCCGACCTCCGCCCCCCCCCCCCCGTGGATGTAGCTGTGCGCATCTGAGTCGCGCCCATGCAGCGGACCTGAGACTCAGCATCCAGAGCAGGGGCCAGACAGGACGCCAGGGCTCCACCCCGGGGCCAAAGGAGAAGACTAGGGTCGAAACGACGGGGGGGGGGGGGGGGGGCGCACTGGGGGCCGCGGAGAGATCCGGTCCACGGCCGCTTCCGGCGAATTTTGGCCGGTTCAAACCAGCCCCTCCGAGTCTCGGCCGGGCCCTGCACACTCACCATCTCCCGGCTCTCAAGGAGTCCTCCCACGGCTCAGGAACGTGAGACCTACAGGTTCAAGACACCTGGGGCTGCGCGGGCCAGGTGCGTACCAACGCCGCGATCAGCCGAGAGCAACGTCCACTCCTTTCCACCGAATCCCTGATTGGACATTGTTCGGAATCTGGAATCCTGATTGGACGGTGTTTTCGGGCACGTCGACGTCTAGGATTCCTGATTGGGCAGTTTCCAGAGGCCAGCCCTCTAACACCTCTGATTGGACAGTTTCCCGTGTCCCTCCCTGTGTCCCTGATAGCTCTCCGCGCACCTCCCCGAATCCCTCAGAGGACAACCCTCTAACCCGCCCCCTGCATCCTGAGTGACAGGGCGTCGGGACACTCTTGGCCGAACATTATCCAGGATCTTTCTCGGATCACGGCTCGGAGGACAACCTGCTCTCTGCCTGGCGTACTGACATCTACCCGCAGTTGAGCAACCCCATCTGAGTCCGCCCTCTGGACCAGGAAGTTGTGACTCAGTTTCCTCGCGGAGCGCCCTCTGTCCGTACCCTGGACAGAACAGGACAGCCTTGTGATCTGCGGTCAGCCCAGGGCGAAGCACTGTTGATCTGTGTGCCCTTTGTTTAAAAACACTCAACAGTGAAGTCTTCGTGTGCACTGTAGGGTCCCTCTTGGTTTTGACGTGTGACATTTGTCAACAGGAATAGGACCTCTGCCCCATTCCCTCACAATGAGGTTTGGGGTCAGCACTCGGAGGCCCCTGTTCCTTTGGCCCCAAAGTGGGAAGTGGGACCCTAAAGCCCCAGCCTGTACACAGGGCTCATCTCAGCACAGTAATAGGTGAGATGGTAGAATTCTTAGTGTGCGTATACTGCAAGGAAATGTATGTTAGGTTTTCAGTGTCTCCCCAGAGAATTCTGAAAATGAAAAGGCTCTGATACTGCACAACAGTATGGATGAACCTAATACCACTAAATTGTACACTTAAAAATGGTTAAGATGGTAAACTATATTAGGTGTATTTTACCACAATTTTTTTAAAAGTTTTACTTTTTAAAAGACTATGATATCCCTAAGGCAATCGAATTCCTATTTTAACTGATATAAAACAACAACAACAAAAAAGCTTATATACATTTGGGATAGACCCGAAAACTCTTAGTACACTTAATAGATGGAGGCTAATGCATTTAATATGCCCGCTCCTGTTAGAAAACATCCTCTCCTTTGAGACTAAGTGGTCATCCAAACTCTGGTATCACTTGCCATTTTATTTACAAAAAAAAAGTTATATTAAAAAATCTTTTAAAGATTTTATTTATTTTTAGAAAGGAGAAAGGAGAGAGAAAGAGGGAGAGAAACATCAATGTGTGATTGCCTCTCACATGTCCCCTGCTGGGGACCTAGGCTGCACCCAAGCTTGTGCCCTACACTGGGAATTCAACCTGGGACCCTTTGCTTTGCAGGCCAGAGCTCAACTCACTGACCCACACCAAGTAGGCATATGTTTTAAAATTTTTTATTTGATTTTAGAGAGGGACAGAGAGAGAGAGAGAGACATTGATTTGTTGTTCCACCCATTCATGCACTCACAGATTTATTCCTACATGTTCCCTGACTTCGGATTGAACCCTCCCAACCCATAACTCGTGTGCAAGAGGACAACACTCCAACCAACTGAACTACTGGCCAGGGCACAGAAAGAATTTTAAAAATTTCTCTTTTATGATTTCCAGAAGGTTTGATATGATTTGGTTAAAATTAGTATTCAGGGGATTAACATGTTAAAAAGCTTAGAGTTAAAAATAAACCACTCATTGGATTTATAAACTATTAAAAAATAAAATATGATTGTATGTAATTTTTTTGTTTACTAGGCGTTACTAATTATTGCCAAGTTTCAACAAATCAGCATGAAGTTTATTAGAAGCTGGCCTTCAGATTGGGTCCTGATGCAGACTTTTAGTACTCCTGTCTGCTTGCCATCACATGTTCAGAGATCTATCCTGGGAGCATCACCCTTAAAGAGTGCGTCATGTCATTTATTAAGGTGAAAAAATGAGGCTGGTCTCTGAATTCATTGCCACAAGAGAAGAGAGAAGAGAGAGCAATCTGAGGAGAAAGAAATGTGCTTAGAGATATTTGGACTATGCTGGAATGTTATTCCTGTATAGAAAAAACAAAGCCAGTTTCAAACATGCAAGGAGTGAGAGGGCCAGGAAAGAACAAACCCCTCCACCCTCCCTCCAACCTCTCCCTTTAGCAGGACCTAATGGGAAGCTACTGGCAACGCAGAAACGTGTTTTGCAGCATTTCTACCCCATGTCACAAAGCAAAGTATGAAAGGTTATATGGCCAACAGAACAGCAGTCCCCTACAGGTGTGTACGTCCTAATCACTGGAACCTGTCACCTCCAATAGTAAAAGGGACTTTGCAATGGATTGGGTTAAGAATCCTGATATGGGGATGACCCTGGGTTCCCTGGAGGACCCAATATCATCACAAGGGGCCTCATAAGAGAGAAACAGGAGGGTCAAAGTCAGAGATGGGAGAGGCTGCACTGCTGGCTGTGACGATGGAGGAAGGGGCCATGGGCCAGGGATGCAGCACCTCTAGAGGCTGGAAAAGGCTGAAAAAGGCTGAAAATGATTCTCCCCTGGATCCTCCAAAATAAATGTAGCCCTACCCAAACCTTGATTTTAGGCTCTAACCTCCAAAATTGTTATATGAATAAATTGGTTGTTTTAAGTCACTAAAAGTGTAGTAATTTGTTAACAGTGATAACAGGAAATTCATACAGTGGGTCTGAAGCAAAGAAACAAGTGCTTAATGAGTGGCACAAATAACTCCTATTCCCAGTCTCATCTTTTCATGTGACTGTGAACTGTGAACGTCCCTTATGCTCTTTCAGAATGACTGCTCTGACCACAACACACCTTGGAATGATCTCTTTTTCAGAGAACAACACTTTTGTGTTTTGGTGTCTGAAATATAGCACGTACTGTACTTTTTTCTTTTTTTAATATAGCACTTTTTGAATAGGTGATATTCTGAAATGTTATGCAAAACCATAAGTATCCTTTTGCAAAAACATTAACAGAGTTGATTTTTGCATTCCTCACAAAGGCATATGTTAATGATAATCACAACACAGTGAGAAGGGAGGGGGACACTTAAACTATTATAAAACTTTTTTAAAAAGATTTTATTTATTGTTAGAGAGGGGCAGGGAGAGAGAAAGAGATGGAGAGAAACATCAATGTGTGATTGCCTCTCACGCGCCCCCTACTGGGAACCTGGCCTGCAACCCAGGCGTGTGCCCTAACTATGAATCGAACTGGTGACCCTTGGGCTTGCAGGCCAGTGCTCAATCCACTGAGCTACACCAGCCAGGGCAAAAACTTTTCAGTCATACAAAATATGCAGGGAATAACACTTTGAATACTCATGTATCTATTGCTAAGCTGGATGAAATCCTATCAATTTACTGTACTCTGTCAGATTTCTTGAAGGAAAAAAAAATGATAGAGTTGAAATGCCCTGTGTATCATCTCCAGGATCCTATCTCTCCCTCTCCATCTGCTCCCAGGGGAAACCATATTCACAAACGTGATGTTTATTACTGCAACCCTGTACGTATGGATCCAGAAACTATATATAACATTACTTTCCCTATATTCAAATTTTATAAATATGCTATTATCCTATACATACTCCATAATTTGACTTTCTTATCCTTCAAAAACTGCTTAATGTTAATAAATCACAATATGTAAGTTTAATGTAGTGTTATTTAATGTATTTTAATAAAATAAAATGCCAAAAGACATTAAAGCAGACAATACACCCTCCAAATTGTCAGAAAATAAATATATTACTCCAATACAGATAACACAGTATAAAATAAAGAGAAAAGGAAACTTGACATAAGAATAAGAAAAATGACATAAAATATGAATTAAATGAATTCATATTTTAGAATTCAGAATTAAAGCCAACAATATTTATTACAGCAAGAACTGGCATAAATGTACCTATTAAAAAAGAAAATTATCCAAAAACAAAATCCATCTATATACTAAAAAGAGAGATACAGGGAATTCGAAAAGTTGAAATTCAAAAGAGATAAAAAATGTTATAAAAAATAAACAGGTTAATTTTGTTTAAAAGGCAGAGGTGCTGCTATTACTTAAAAAAAAAATCACTTCAAAACAAAAAAGGGTATAATTCACAATGAAGACCTGTCATGAATTATTTACTACAAATAAAATATAAAACAAAAACAAATTTCAAAACAACAAAAATGACAGAAAATACTGAGGGAAATTAAGCACAGTAGCAATAGAAAACTGTAACTTAATTCTCTTGAACTAATTATCTTTGAATCAACAATCCAAAGACAATTAAGGACAATCAATGTTTCTCAACTGTAACTGAAAGAGAAGGAATATCAGGGGAAGAACATGGTGTGCATGTTAAAAATGCATATTACTGGGCTCCAACTCTCGCTTATTAAATCTGAACCACCTGACATGAAATTTAAGAGCCATTGTTTAATAAGATTGATTTAATAGACATGGCAGATTCCTAATCACAAAAGCAGAGAATACAGCTGCTTCTCAGGACCTACAAAATAATTCTAAAATTTAATCACATAGTAAACCTTAATAAATTTCAAAGGTTCAAAGCAGTAGGCATATTCTCAGACTATAGCATAATAAAAGCAGAAATTTAATAATACTAATAATATAATAAAAGGATGAAGGACATCTATGAAAATCCTAGTTAACATCACACTCTATGTTGAAAATCTGAATGCTTTTCCCTAAGATCAGAAACAAAACAAGGAAATCTGTTTTCACCATTCCCACTCAACATAGTCCTGAAGGAGCAAGCCAGTGCAATAAAACAAGAAAAAGGATTTATTTTTAAAAAGAGGGGAAAGGACATTTAAACACCCAGAAGTTTAAAAAATATATCCTCTCTCAAAATACTTTTGGGTCAGAGAAGTCAAAACTCTAAATTTTTTTAATGATCATAGAACCACATATGAGGAATTTCACCAGAGACCTTAAGTTTAGCTAAACTTAATTCCTTGT